GCTCACAGCGGACAGAACTTAGCTTCCCCAAACCAGAACAGGAACTTGGCTGGGCCCCCGGGGCTCTTGTAGGAATCTTGGCTGTTTCCCCATGTCCTCCCCCAGTTGGCTACCGAACAGCCAAAGGGCTCCCCATTGCTAACGTGTTTGAAGGGAAACCAAATGATAAACAAATTTCACAGTGGTGTTTTCTGGTTTTGGGGGCGTCCTAGTTCGACACACGCCTGTTTGCCAACATCCAATTCTCACAACCCACGGCTAGCCATCACGCAGGGGCGCAAACGAAGGCACGGACCAATCGTCCAGGTGCATTCGTTGGACTTGGAGCTTGTCACGCATTCTTGAACCCTCATCCCTTGGGCAGCTTTGCACAAGCGCGGTGTATTCAGGGAGTGTTTGGTGGACATCATGTGCAGGGGTTTAGGTCCGTCAGCGTCTTAATAACCACTCCTCTTTCCTCACTCACCCCTTTCTTCCCCGGATGTTGGAGGGTACTCATTGGAATTCGAGCAACCCTGAACAGCAAAGCCTTGCTGAAAACGTTTGTGTTTTTCTAGCAAATTTGAATCTATCCGTGGAGGAATTTAAGTTTGTATATTCGATTTGTTCGAGTTCCGTGCATTGTGCTTGAAAACAATAGGTTCCCTTCAACACGCATAGCTGCGAAAGCTCAGCCACCACTACAAACACAACACATCGGGAAGCCCAGAATGGCTGTTTGAACTTACGTTCGCCTTCAAACTCACCACACCTAGTATCCTCAACATATGTCTGACGGCCACAGGTTTGTCAACCGAGTCAGCTCGGATTCTTTCTTCCTGCCCAAAGCTGCCAGCCTTGAACCCCCAAAACCGGCCATCCGCGCGACTGAGCGCTAGATGAAGATGGCCGAGCCGAGCTGCGAGCCGAGCTGCACCAAGAAGGTCCTGAGTCGCAATCAAAACCTGGTACTAAAAGGGTCCCAGAAGCACGTACAGGAAGAAGGCGACCGCGGCTATTTATTGTTGGGATCGTCCCGTACTAACCTTCGTCTACCCGGGTTTTGATTGTGGCTCAACTGGCTCCCTCCCGCTCCCACCCAATCCAGAACCCCCCCCCCGAGCAACGGCCAGGCTTGAGGTCAAACCGACACCCCAAAACGGAGGCTTTGCCCTGAAAAGGTTTCAGGTCGAAGCGACGCCCTTTGGGGAGATTGAGTGTCCAGTTCCAAGAGCCCTCCAGGAATCAACAAGCGGAACTGCTGTCGAAATATACCCCAGTTCCGTTTCAAGGACCTTAGGCAAAGAATTCGCTAGGGGCTCCTAGTTTTTCAAGACTGACTTGAGAAGCCAATCTGTAGAACACTGACAGGGTTGCCCCAAATCCGCGCAAGGGTCGAAACCAAAGCAAGCCTCTCCCACGTTTCTATGGACGTCGGTTCATCTGCTTGATTCGGAGCATGAGAAACCCTCAAATCCAAAAAGTTGTTTACGACTGTACCTGACACACATCGCCCCTTGTGAACGGAAGACCTGGCCTGATCTGCAGCGGCCCGAAGGTCGTAGCGCCCTCCACCGGCACCGTCGCGGCATGGCCCCATCCATCTGATCGACCCTCCACTTTCCAGTCAATGCGACGGCTCCTGGGCCGGACCAAGGCCGGAAGAGATCCGGTCACATCTTTATGCTGCCGGGACCACTCTGCGAAAAGTGTGCAACTTTTGAGTGGGTCCAATTCGGAAATTGGTCAACCTTACAAAAACAAGTCCAAAGATCCAACCAAATAGCCATAAAGACATCTGGGATTCAGGAGCTAACTTATGGGCCGTTTTGGGCCAGCACATCGATAGTTGGAACCCCAACATGGGCCGAAATGGGGATTAAAAGGGGCTATATTTTGTAAGACTGAAACACCTACATCACAGAAATGGGTCCTATGTCTAACGTCCGGAAATTTTCGGGATGTGGATTCTAGGACGGCTCTACGCTTCTGACAGTTCATAGGCCGATTTTGCAGTGAGATCGGGTGCGAGAGCAAGATGTGAGCAGCCACCTTATTAAGCCTTATGTGCAAAACTGAAATATATCTATATCTCCATAGCCTTCGTCTCAAAAAGTTGCCTTCCCCTAGGGTCCCCATGTACGCTATATATGAGGTCTTTCTAAAGACCCCGGGATTGGACGCCCCGATGTCAGCACCTCCAAATTCAAGGTCTCAGATTTTAGAACCTCCTGAAAGCATTCAAATTCAAGGCCTCAGATTTTGGAAGGGTTTTTGGGGGTCTTGAAGTGCCAACTCGACCTTGAATTTTGAGGTTGTGGTTCAAGCTGCGGCATGTTTCACTGACGCGTTTCCAGAATCAGCATGCACTCATTAGTCCTCAGGAGCCCATGGTTTGCATCATGTTGACTTCATTCACGGATTTGGGGTGGTCATAATTGCAAATCAGTATGAGTGGACCCCCAAGGCATGACCATGCACATATGCATGCATGCAGCCATGGCCGGCACCGCATCAAGCAGTGCCCCTGCCACCTCGAATTGCGGGATGCTTTGGGTCCGGACTGGTGCGGAAGTCCTGCTCCAGCCTGCAGGGTTTGGGGGCTGATTTCATTTCGCAATATTGCAATGGCGGGCCAACCCTGGAAGTTTCAAAACCCTTCGCCTCAACAACCACTTCCTCAGGACCGACTTTTCCAAGCTGAAGCGTTGCCCCTGCCCCGCCAACCTCTTCATGAACTGCATCGCGCTCTCATCCCGAAACGCGTGAAACTTCGCCATGCTGTAGCCCTCACTCTTCAGGTCCACCAACAAATGATGAAACATGTGATGTTTAGGGCGTATCTGCCACCGATACCTAAGCTGCAAATTTTAAAGGAGCTCATCATCTTCAAGTGGTTGCCGGGAGAATGCAACACCAAAACTCGGGTCAATCAAACTGATACTGATTTGCCGAGAATCAACTTGGCTTCCACCGAGTACATTGCCAGTTTCCAGTACCAGCGCAGGTATTGAACGCCAGCTTGGTAGATGCGATCGCTTTCCTTGGATGGGTGAAAAAAAAACCCTCAAACGCGGGCACCGTAATGGATCACAACGACATTTTCAAAGTGCATCTGCCCCTGTGGCCGAATGGTTAAGGCGCCAGTCACGCTGCGGTTACGTGGGGAGCTACGGCTGTACACGATTGGAGATGCGGGTTCAAGTCCCGCCAGGGGTATTCCGTTTGTGCCACCCTTAAATTTTGACCCTGCTGGTTGGGGGTGAGAGTTGAGGTTGTTATATTCAAACTGGGGAAGAAGATATATATGTAATATATATACGAGTGTGTGCGTGTGTGTGTCTCTCACGCCTGGCTGGCAACACGTGGCTGCGCTGGTGAACCTTAACAGCACGCACTTCTTCTACGAGGCGGTCTTGACGGCTCTGAAGCCGCTGCACGATGCGAAGCGGCATATTCAGCGGCTGAAGCTCGAGGAAGTTTCTTCCTGCAGCAGGATGTTGTATGGACCACCATCGTGGTGAACATGAACTGAATGTGCCGCTAGGCACCCTGAGAAGGGCAACTAGCCCCAGCTGGACAATTCTGATCTACCAGACGACTACAATGCGGAGCAGCGTGCAGTTGATACGTGTACATAATTATAATTCAGGATCAGTCCAAGTTAAGAAGGAAATTGAGGGGTTGGAAGGGTTTTGAAACCACAAGTTGGATGGGAAACTGACGGTTGATTGATGAGGGTTGGAAACTGAGGGGTGGCCGATTGCATAAGAGGTTGGGCGGCTGTTGGAAGTTGAGGGTCGGCTGAAATAATTTCCTGGCCATAGGGTACCCGTTGAATATGGAAACTAGCGGGTTGCTTTGAGGGATGAATGTCGAGGGCTGAAAGGTCGGTGTTGCAACGAAGCCCACATCTCGGAGGTACGCTCGCGCCCATGGATGTGGTCCGGCTGTCCGGGGCCACAGCTGGGAGTTTGTGGCCATGGGGACACTTTTCAGCATGCGCCCGATGTTTGGACCGTTCCCTTATTTTCAAAATGAAATTATCGGCAAGTTTCAGCATCGCCCAAGTACCGGTCGCTCGATTCCAGAAGGCAATAAAACAGGTGTAGCAAATAAATACACTGAGCTGTCCATGCCAAAAGCTGTAGCTCCTCCGCGGGATCTTTCTCCATCGATTCCTTCAAGAGGTTGCACGCCTCGTTCGCCAAGAAGCTGGTGATCACTCTGGAGTTGTAGGCCTTGAGTACAAGCTCGGACAAGATAGCAACAGCTAAGAAGGCCCGAACCGATTTTTTGAAGTGTTGTACCATGTGGCCAGCACCAAAGTCGGGCAAACACGTGATAGTAAAAACACTTAATCCGCAGGAAGGGCACCTTGGATTTCAGCAGGCACATGTCATCGCTGTTGCTAACCAACATCCAGGCTTTGAAGGCTGGCTGGCTGCACTGAACTTTGTTTGCACGACGCCAATCCTTGAAGTGGCCCCATGCAACTGACATTTGGTTGCTCAGCGGTGGGGGCCCATATTTGCCAAAATCGATCAGCGTTCGAAGCACTGACCCATTCGTATCCAAACCGCACCCCAGCTGCACTGTATGCATGCTACAACCGCGAAGCATCGACCAGTCAAATCCTGCAGTCCAAAGAATCGCATTATGATGTGGAGAGGATAGGTCCAGTTCTGAGTCCAAAAACTCCTGAAAGCAAAGGAGGCCTTGCGCCCAAGCTGGATCTTCCCGAAAATCCCATAGCGGAGTGGCGCCGGCTTTCTTGTTAGCACAGCATCTGTGACAAGCCCGGTTTTTGCGCCAGTGACTGTTCACCCCCCAGGTCTCCTGCATGAACTTCCAATCGCCACGCACTTCTGTTAAGCGAAACCGGTGACCTGGGATCACTGGGCCTGTGGCTTCTGATTGCCACCGGTTGCCAAAAACATCAACCTCGGGGTGACGATTCAAGTAGAGGCAGTTGATGCTCCAGGCCAAAAATTGCCACACCGGGCCAAGGGTTCGCATGCCTAAAGATTTCGCGGCGTGCAAGCAGAAGACCGGGAACCTTGATTGCCACACTGATTTCCTCTTGCTGTCCCATAAGGGGTAACCTTGGTTGCAAAAATGGCACCAAACAAACTTTCGGGAACCAGTCGAGAGGGCATGTCAAAATGATGCAATATTAAAGCTTGCAAATTGCAAATAGAAATGATTGGTTGCCCTCGTACTGCAAAAAAACAGATTTTACTTTTAACCAAGCGTCTCATGAATATAGCCAAGATTTGTTCTCCACTGTCGGTGTACTTGGCCTCATCTCCGTACAGCCCCAATGGGTGAAATACTTCTCCACCACTTGTGGTAGATGCCCCCTGCGCCCACTTGACACCCCGGGCCTTCATGTGCTCCCAGAACTTGGCGGACTCACCTCATGTGGACCCATAGCCAAACGGTGTGATGTTTCCCCCCCACAAAAGTCAGCTGCAAGTTAGTTTCAAGTTCGCACACCACTCAACCAAAGCACTTTGTGCCACATGTGAAACCCTTCAAAGATCCACGCACCAAAAAGAGTACGGCCATATTCGCAGATAATAATACACCCAGCCACCGTTGTCCAGCTCGACGATGCCCTTCCGCAGCAGCCAAGGTGTGAACTCGTGCGGCGCGATGATGGGCAAGGTCCTCGGCGTGGCTGGTGTCAAGCACATTTCAATTTTGAAATGGCCCCCTATGTGATCAAGCTGGCAGTTTTAGCCGGGGGTTCACTCTGATAGTGGCTTTCATGTTGGCCAACAGTTGGGACTTGGGTGTCTACATTTTGGCAGCCAGCGCTGGTGAAAACACATTCATTTTTTAAATGGCCCTCTATGTGATCAAGCTGGGGGTTTTCAGGTTAATCCAACAGTTGGGACTTGGGTGTCTACATTTTGGCAGCCAGCGCTGGTGAAAACACATTTCATTTTTTAAATGGCCCTCTATGTGATCAAGCTGGCCAGGCAGTTTAACCGGGGGTTTTCAGGTTAATCCAACAGTTGGGACTTGGGTGTCTACATTTCGGCAGGCAGCGTTTGAAGCACCGTTTTGTTGGCCGGCCGCTCAATGTCCTTCACCTCAAGGGCAATCGTCCGCATTGGAACCTTCAGGGATTCAAAACGCAGCTAGCAAGCGTGCCCAATTACATATATGAGATAGTACTCAATATTGCAACACTGATCAAAACATGCAATAATGTTGCAAGGTTCGCCAAAACGAGTAAAACGAACTCACTGCTGACAAGCTTCACCATCCCCATCAGTTGCCAGTCTTGTGACATCCCGCTGCATGTGTCCAGCCACACGCCCTCTTGCCCCACAGCGGGCCAAGGCCTCCACCGATTGAGGAGCCGTGTTCCCCAGCTCCTCGGACAACAATGATTCCCCTTTGCACGGGCGGTTTATCATTTCGTTGCAACACGGGACACCCTGCTTTAGAGATTCCTGGCCGGCCTGATTGCCGCACATATACTGTAAAAATAAAAACACCCGGCCCGGAACCGTTCTGCATTATGACCGTTGTAAACAAATCTATTGGGACAAGTTGCGAGGATGATGCAATTCGCGATGTCTTGGGCAGCTACGTAGCTCCATTCCTGATCAATCAATGTTTCTTTGCAGCGTTCAGCGAGCCCGAACACCAACTTTTTCAGGGCCGGCCCCAAAATGCACCAAACCTATCGACATCAAACTCTAGCTTTGCGATCAGACCATGGCCACATTGATTTCGTATCGAGTAGGCCTAATCTTTATAATATAGACCCACAGCTCGGTTTGTCTCGCGCGCTGGCAACATGCAAATCGCACTGCGGGCTAGCAGCATCCAGCTCACCAAGAACTACGAGCTCAAATGTGCATGTGGATTGCAACAACTTCGGCAGCAGTTTGATATCGGCTGCACAGACTACGCAGTTGTCAGCCTGTGTCCCACGTGGCAAGTTCACTACATGCAGATGATGTGCCCATGTGGCATGGAAGTCTCCATCGCCGAAGTACTGACACTGCCAGCGGGAATCTGGCGTGATGAACCGAGCCGTGCAACATAAAAACAACAACTCAAACTCCAAATTTGTCAGTCCCGAATGCGCGATCATGGCTACTGTATGTAATCAGCATGATGTTCATGCAATGTGTACATACATGCCATACGCGTGTGTGACTATAATCAGCAAAGCTGCGCCAGCGCCAGCGCCAGCCAGTAGCCTCTTCTGAATGATGCCCGGCACAGCACCTGCCCAGAGCCACACACACCCTGACCAAGCTTAAATAAGGACTGTTGTCATGCGGCATCCCCTCCCTCAATCTCTCAGCAGGCAGCTCACAATCAGGTCGACCCTTTTCTCAATTCAACTAGGTTTGCAACCCGCAAACGAAATGGCTCGCCCTGCACAGCACAAACTTTTTTGCACGATCGCAAAGCATCGATAGAAGTCAACCCCCTATTTGGCCGGAAGTGCATGCTGCGGAGCAGTCAGTGTTCACCCATCCCAAACGGGCAAATCAGGAGCTAATTCCATATTGGGTCCATTAAAGTGAGCATGTTCTCAAATTTTCCTCCGGGATGTTTTCATATATGAGAGCTTGTGTAGCCCCTTTGGAATACACACTGACGTGCGTCATTACCAGCAATGGCACAAGAGGCCACCAGAATGCTAGTCGGCTATCCAGCTTTCTTAGCCTTTGGCTTTGGGGCTGGCTTGATGAATTTTTTGGCGCACGCGCAAGCTTCCTGGTACTCGTTGCACTTGTTCTTCAACAGGGCGCAAGCCACCTCAATGTCCGCATCAGGCTTCATCTCGGAAACCTAGGATTGCAGGCAATTGGGATTTGAAACCGGTCTTGGCGTGTGAACTTTGAAGGCTTGTATGAATAACAAGCTGGATCCATTTGGGTATCAGATCCAGATCCTGACTCGTCCCAACCCCCAAAGTATAGGCCACGTAGCCATCATCTCCAGGGCAGTGTAGGCTTCCTGCATCTCCTCGGACGGGGTCTGCAAATCGGTCAGAACCGCGCGCGCGGTGTGCTCAGGCCTGGGACGATTGACCACGAGCACGCAGCGCCCGAGGCAAGGTGGGGTCAGGGTAAAGCAGCTAGGGGCGTTAATGCAAAGATTTGGTCGTCGTTTAACATGTTTTGTTTTGACTTGCAACGGGTCCGATTTGCTCTCTAAAAAAGCACGATCGAGCGAGGGAAAAAATTGGATATCCCAAATGTGCAATATTGCATTGCTAAATCAGAGAATCGATAAAGGTAGACCGAAGATGCATGCATTTTTCTGAATTGACAGGCGCTGAGCCATAAACAAAACCATGAATCGATGGATGTGATAAGCACCAATTTTGGAACGCGAGAACCACAAAGTGCGACAGCCATCGAATTCAACCGAGAAACACGGCTGCGTCCGCAAGCTTCTTCTTCCAGCATTTGGAATCCGTGAGCTTGCTGGCCGTGGCTTTCAAAAGGGTTTGGGCCACTTGCTGTTGCGTTCTTGCCTTGGGCTCCTTGTTGGATCGCCTTGATGGCAACCTGGGAGGATCCAGCCCTTGCCCTTGGCCCGCCCCTGCCCCGTGACCTGCTTGCCCATCGCCAGGCTGGTCGCCATCCTGCTGCTGCATGAGGCCACTCCTTGGCTGGGACGGCGATGGAAAGCTGTTGTTTTGGAGGAACCATTTGATGGCTTCTGCCAACCCAAAATTGCATATTATGCGATGTTGATGTTTTGCGGGGATTCCCCAAATTGGGTCCGTGTGGGTCGAAATAAATCTACCCCCGAACTGGACCGGTACCCCAAATGAAAAAAACGCATATCTGCCAAGTCCTCCAGTAGAGAGGATAGAATAAGCTTAAGGGTACCCTTTTTTCTGTACTAGTGTATAGGGGAACCCTCCCCCCAAAAAGGGTAAAAGGGCACTAGTCGGGTCAGATCCCATGCTCCACGCATGTTTGCGTTAATGAGATCAAAGCATCATGAGCGCCCTAGTGCCCGCCCCGTCCACCTCTAACGTGGTGCCAAAGGTGTAATCGGCCTCCTGCTCCTCCTCCTCCTGCTCCATCGCGCTGTCAAACACTTTCAGCAGCGCCCAGTTCTCGTCTGTCGGCCGATCTGGGTGCGGCTTGTACCATCCTTTCCCCTGAGATTTTTTGTACTCCTCACAGTTTCAGGGTCGGGCCTTTGCGTGGCGGCCAAAAAGACACTATCAATAGGCTCCCCAAACCCTAAATATGACGACCTTGACCCGCAAAGACCTCAAACTTTCGGGTTTGCGGCGTTCAGGAATGCTCAAAAAGGGATAGCTAGGCCTTCATACAAGTGACCATCTCGCTCCAAAGAAACATTGCTGAGTATCCCATACGTTTGACCTGATGTGGGGTCATCCCAAATGAATTCTAAATATTGGGTTTGGATTGACTAGTACTATCCATATTGAGGGATTGCGACCCAAGAGATTCGGATTGTTGTGGCCATGGGGTCAATCAGGTTTTTGCGGAGCTCGGGTTAACAAGCGCATGTTCAAAGCTGTGTCACGGGCTTTTGGGAATTCCAAGCAGTCCTTCATCTCATGGGCGATTGGTTCGCCGTGCTCTTCCGCCAACTCTGAAACCTTCCGCCAGCGATAGCTCCCGATCTTCTTGTTCATGTTTTTGTTTTTGAAGTTGGCCACTATGGAGCTCCTGGACCAGTCCTCCTTACTGCTCAGGAAGTTCTCGTAGAGCATCCTCATCACCGATCGCCCGCGGGCCTTGAGGCTGCCATCGGAGTTTTTCTGGAACGCAGCCTCCAGGCACCTCCGGGTGGCCTGGTCAATGGGGGGCGTTCCATTTAGCTGTATATCAAAATAGGCACCACTTCAGAGATTCCAAATTGATTCCAAAGGCCCCCCCCCAAAAAAAAAATGGCGTACAGAAGCTTGTCGAGGTAGAAACGAGATGATTTAGATGCAGGCCTCCAATTCCTGGTTTGGGACAACGAGTACTGGTTTAGAGCACTTAATGATCGTTTGGCCCATTGGGAAGGGCTGGTACCAACCGGTTGTTTTGATTTGCCCATATAGGCTAGATCTAATAGCCGCACTAAAGTCAAAAAAAAACATTCCAGAATTGTTGCCAACTGGTTGGGCAAGTAACGCAAGCTCCTGTAGAAGCGCATGTAGGCGGCTTTCGCCTCCCGCTGCAGCTCTGCATCCGGCAGGTGCCCCTTGCGTGGCTCCCTGGGCTCCTGGCTGGCCTCGATGCCCCCAGTCGAGGCTCGCTGGAGCAGCGACTGGATTGCCTGCAAGGGTTGAAAGGGTTGAAAGAGCGAGCAAGCTCGCAAAACCCAGGAAATGGAACAATTTCCCTGCTCATGGGGTGGATGTAGAATTGTGTTGGGGGGGGGGGGGGCACGAGTGGTTTTGGGAACGGTTCGCGAGGATTTGATTTAATTTTGAGGGAGGGATCGACACAGGTTGCGAGCCAAAACGTGATCTGAACTGTTATCGGCTGTTGGGCGGTAAACTCAAATTTCTACAAAATATATGGGCCCGGGGATCCTAGCGTGTGTTAGGAGCTGGCTGCGCTGTGTGCAGTTCTCTGCGCCTTGGCATCCTTCTGTTCGCTCTTGATCGCCTCCACCTGCAAGCCAGCCAGGTTCTCCATCTCCTTGTGCAAATCCGTCTCGTTCATGCGCAGCAAGG